GTTTGTGGCTTGCAGAAGCAATGCAAGTCGGACCTACAGCCCGACACGTATTACGCAAGTTGCCGGCGGAGATCAGCACAGAGACTGGAACTTTGGTGCTTCAGTTTGGCCAAGGACACTGTTGGCCCAACTTTTGATTTTGCCTAGAGCCTCAGTTGAGCATGGGAAGGTACTGGCCCGTTTCGTGTTAATGAAGCTGACATATGTGGTGATATAACATCACTTACTGTTTTAAACGTAACTTACAGGAAGTTGTTCCTTTACAACTTGTGTATTTTGGGGATTTTCCAAAATTAATTTAATAACTTTTCATCATAAGGGTCCATAGATTCTGTGTAAAATATTATAGGTGGAAATGGGAGTGGTCTACATCACGAGATGCAGCTCAACTCAGGGAACATGTGAATATAAGGTTTTTACAGATGTGGGACATACTATGTGGGAGTTACGGGCTTCACCGCTGGTACTGGGATCCATACTGCCTTGCATGCGTGGCCCCCAGCCCGCTGGGCTTGGACCCCTAATAATACACTGAAGTTAATAGTTTCTAGAATTACTGTGACTTTTTTTTCTTTTGACAGAAGCTAACTCTTTTTCCTGCTTCCAGTCTTTGTGCTAAGCTAGGCTTAAAACATCATGGACCTATCCCTGTATTGAACACACACACACATTAAAATTTCCCTTTGAGTATGTAAAACTCACCACTGGTAGGCTTGAGAGGTGGCCCTTAAAAGTTTGCAGCATGCTTCTTTGTAGCAGATGGCAGTTAGATTACAACAGTAACAGTACAGCACTGTAACAACAGCCATGCCATGCCAAAAAAACAAATTCAAATGTGCAGCATAATCCACTAGGCTATTTTGCCATAAATATGTTCACAAGTACGCCTACCATCAAGCTCACTATTTAACACGTTTTATCTTCTTTGTTGAATCTGTAAGGGGCAAGTATACTAAATCAGAACTGAAACAGCTTCTAGGGGGGTTCCTAAAACCAAAGTAAGCAGGGATTGAACTTCTCTCTCTGTCATTTTTACACATCTATGTGTTTACAAATGAGTACACTATAAATGCACAGACATCGGAGTTGTATTGATTTTCTCATCTTACGCTCAGCAAGAAATCGAATAGGCATATTTCCCTGCACTCAAATCATGCAGTAACACAGTCAAAATACAAGAATAGAGAAAAGGATTAGTTTAATACTTTTTGAGCGTGAAAAGTCAGTCTTCACCTATAGTTTCAGGTTCCTTATGTCAGTCATGTCACTTCAGTTGTGAAACCAAGTCCTGAGCAAACTCCATTTGCTCGTGAAAACTGTGGGATTTGGCTGAAAGATCATTTCAAAATGTTATATTTACCTTGACTTAAGATAATTTTGTCAAATGACTTAAATAGTGGTGCATTCATTTATAATAGTAAATAAACGCCTGTGTCAGAAGGTCTCTGGTTGTTACCAGACATAAAAGGACACCTGCCAGCCAATCAGAATTCCAAATTCTCAGTGGCCATGGTGTAATAGCTGTGGGTTTTGAACAGTTGGTCGGACAAGACAAGACATTGGTAAACTGCACCTTGGGCTATGGGATATTGTGATGTGCATTTTTCTCCATTTTTTGACATTTTATAGACGCATCGTTTAATTGGAAATAATCATTAGTTGCAGCAGTAGTCCACGTCCATCTGGGAAACACATAGGAGTCGTGCCAATCAACATGCATCATCAGCCATTGCAGTGGAGACGAGGGGTTTAAAGTGCTGCCAATTGTGCCAGTCTGATAATTGAAATCTAGCCACCAGCTTAGACATTATTTGGCAAAATGTATGGTCAGCTGTGTTCTAATACTTTGTGAATCTGTCCTTTCTTGTCAGTTGTATTGGCTTTTTAATGTGGTATGTGTTGTCATTGTTTATTTATATGTTTCAGCGAAACCCCACTGCTCAGGTATTCAGACCTGCTTCACCATACCTTTCAATAGCACTAAAGTGGCAGGAGCAGATAGATCACAAATCTGTCAGCACGACACAGGGGTCTATTTAACAGTCTGACTTGACGAATGGAAAGCCTGATATGTGCCATGGTTTAGCAGACATTCAAATATCTTAGTAAATTAGAGCAGGCCTGGGGGGCTTCAATGGGAAAGGGCATAGGAGTAATGGTACTAATGACACCCACATAAGATTAATATATCAGAATTTAGAGAGGACTAAATCAGGACAGTCCCATCAAGATGACACCAGGAAGATTCAAGGGTGTGTGCGTGTGCGTGCATGTGTGTGTCTGTGAGTGTGTGTGTGCTTGGTTATTACCATACCCTACAGTGTAATGGACAACTGAAGGCAATTCCACTATTTGTTAAATAAAAAAAAGAACAAAAGTTTAAACTCATTACTTGTACTTAACCATGGTTCAGGGCTTTGGGCAACTGAAGCATTGTGGACATTCAAATAGAGTAACACAAGGTCGATATGGGAGGTAGAAAAACCAAGTTTAATACAGGGACGAGTTGAAATGTCTTATTTTTCTATCAAATAGCAATGGATTGCCAATGTAAAGGAACAAATGGGGAAAAAAGCTCCAGAATCCAAGGCCAGGTCAGGTGCAACTTGCAGGACATAGTTTGTATTAAATGTAGAAAATAAAAGGTTCTCTTCCCACGACGAGTGTTGATAACTTTCTGAAAGCAGTCTTTGAATCTTGTTATGTTGTTTTTGTGGCTTTACGTGTGGTTAATCTGTATGCATTCTTTCATCACAGAATGTTATTGGTAAGCTAACAGATGTTTACACAGGACATGCATCTTTCTGGCTGATTTATTGATATGAACGTTATGAGCGATATGAACTGAAAAAAGACGACATTACACAGCTTATGAGCTTGTGTCTTGGGTACATAAAAGCATTGCCAACCTCTTTGTTTTGTAACGTATCAGTACTGTGGAGATTTTGATTTTGACATCGATTTTCTCTTTTCTTTTCAATGTTTGATATGGTTCCTGATTGTTCAATTTAATTTGTTTTGTTGCTAAACTTCTGCACAAAGGTCAAGTGTTGCTTTAAAATAACAATTAAGAGCCAGTGTTGGCTAGTTCAAAAGCCAGTGAATGAGAATTCTCTTGTCTTCATACTGTATGCTGTACATACAGTATTGTAGGTATTTTGTTGTGATTTGAAGCAACGCCCCCAACTGGGAGCCCAAACTGTGGTGTCCTACTTCCAATTGTAATTCTCAGTCATACCCAGAATCTAAAAAATACAGGAGCAGAGAGTAACATTTCTTAGCAGCTGCTACTACACATTGCCTTTTGGTGCAATGACACAAACACTACCTGTTACAAGGTAAGTGTGCACAGCAGATGATACAAGTAGTACTATCTACAAGTAAGTCTTTTTATACCAACACAACTTTACAATTTTCTTGCTACTTTCAAGATAAGAAAAGGCAGAATTGATCAGAACATGAATAAATGAGTTGCCCAAAATTTGTAATTCCATAAAGCTGGGTGAAGAAATGCAGCAAGAGCTCTGGGTGACAACGCTTGGCCTTTCTGTTGTGACTCCTCAGTAATTTGATGTCCGGGTGATCTCCGTGAGATCGTGGCGGTAATGTTTTCACATTGAAAAGTCATCAGCTGATCTAGATATGCTGAAGCTGTGCATGTATGATATTGTTTGGTGCATTTGTGTTTTTTAAATGAAGGAGTTAATAAAAACAATTCACTGAGGATTTTCTCTTGGATTTCTTTGAATTATGTGTGGCATGGTGTCATTTTCAGCATCAGCAGTTTTAGTGTCTTTTACTGCAGGAGGAATTTGAGTGGCGCCTTGGGGCACCATCAAAGCTATAAAATGCATAATGTTATCAAAAAAGCATATAAATGAGAGTAAATGGCAACGTTGATGTCAGATGCAGTGGATAACACATTCAAAAAGGGTTTTTTTCTGCATATACTGCACTAATTGATTTATGAAATAATAAGGATCACACACGATCTAATGTTTCTAATATAACTATCAAATGCAATATTTGAAAGAATAGACAATCTAAAACTCAAGCAGTTGGCTTTGTACTGTAGCCTTTGCAAAGAATACTGATCCATTTCTTTGGATTATTAGAACATGTATCTGCTGATGTTCAGATACCTTCCACTAAAACAACGGAATGATATGGAAAGCTACTGTGAAATATTGATTGTGCCAGTGTTGCAGAGATGCTTTTAAGATAATAAGAAGACCCTGTGAAGAGATCAATAGGAAGGGGAAGTGAAGAAAAGAGAGGTTTCTCCCTACACACCACAGATCATCCATAATGAGCTGGTGTGTCAATACTTAGGCAATGGCTCTTCACATGCTATTGACCACTGAATCACAATCACTAGGCTACTGCTTTTTACACCAGACTCTAAAGGGACGGTGTTACGTATTTAGTATACCCACAGTATCACCTCTGTTGCTGAAAACTGCTTTGGATTCAGATATGGTTAAGATTTAAGACGTGATTGGTGCATATTACTTCTCCCCATATCCTCAAAAATAGAGAGCAGGTTCTGTGGCTTAGCTGCTGCAGATTGCAAATGTCAACACTGCCCCCTCATGGTACCAGCATCCTGGTGCAACACTCTCAGGTTGGGTGGGTGAGCCAGGGGGAGATAAGGCCATGTCTGCAGTGTTGCTGCATAGAATAAGTACTCTGATGGCCAGAGCCTGGCCATGCAGTGGAAAAAAGCTAAGTTTCATGACCAGTCTTGATTTGGAGCTCAGTCTGACACAACACTAAAATAAAGAAGATCTGTAATGTTACAGATATATAAAATAAAAGTTATACATTTTATGAACAAACCTATCCTTTTACATATTGTCATGTAGCAATATGTCCGATAAGATGTCAATAAATTTTAGAAAATGTAGTCCGTCCTTCTGCGGGCGGTCCCCTCCACACCTTTAGGTGGCGCTGTACCCCCTCTGCGTCCGTCCCAGGGGCTCAGAAGAAAACGTTAAGGAAAGGGGCTGTTTCCTGCGGCTCACATGTACACAGTATCAAACTAGACGATGGCTTCCTCAAAGAGCAATGATTCCACAAACAGTGGCCTTCAAGACACAAATTCAGACACCAACGACGAGGAAAGAGACGACCTGTGTCCCGGTTTTAAAGATGTGGACGCCTTTGTTAAAGTAAGTGAACTGACCGAGCTGGACGCAGAGGTTTTGAGTTCAGGCTAGCATTCAGGTGCGCAACGTGGATGCGCTTGTTGGCTAGAGCTGCAGACACATTATAAATTAGGTAGAAAACACGCACAGCTATGTGTTGACACAGGATCTCTTTTCACGTTTATTCAAGTAATTGGCGTGGTAATGGTCGGCAACACGAGAGTTGAGCCTCTTTGGTGTGTTATTTAACATTAGCTTTAAAAAAAAAAAAGTGATTCAAGTTAAAATGTTTTCATGTGAGTTTAGTTTACTTGTAGCAAATTTGCATATTGGACTAATATGTCGATTAATGGTTTCGTCAAAAAATATTGACATATCTGAAAGTGATGGTTTAAAATGACTCACTTTGGATCAACAGCCCCAAAGCTGAAGCAATGTAACTGAACTCAAAGCTATTTAACTTAACGTTAACGTTAGCTTGCAAAAGTGATGGCTGTGAACGGAGGAACGTGAAAGTTAACAAACAAAAATTTTAGAAGCTGTCAGCAGCAGATTGTTGTTGTTTTTACAAGATATGTAGCTAAAACGGGGCATTGCCAATTATCTTAACACTTGTGAAATATAAACTAAAAGATAAGCTGTGCAACCGACATGTGTCACTGTAATCTTGTTTTTAATTGAAAAGCTGAGCGGCTATAGATGTAGTGTTGTTCCCTGTCCCCACCTGTTAACTAACACTAGCACTATGGCTGTGCTGTGGTTGTCTGTGATTGTTGTATTAGTCTTATTTGTCCACTGCACAAATGAAGTGCCTCATGGAAACTAAAGTCACTTGTGAACTGTGACGTTAGACATTGCCATAAGTTGATTGTACAGCATTTGATTTGATTGAAATCCTGTCAAGAAGTATTGACAAATAGCATTGTCCTTCCTCTGCAGTATGGATTTGGTGCTGTGTTATCCGCCACCAAAGCATCCGCCGCCTTGCCTCAAGCAGGGGATGAATATGATTTCTATAGGAGCTTCCCGGGATTCCAGGAGTTCTGTGAAAGTCAAGGAGATAAGCTCTTGCACTGGTGAGTACGGTTGCAACTAACAATTATTTTCATTATCAATTAACCTGTTGATAATTTTCTCGATAAATCAATTAGTTGTTAGGTCCGGACAATGGTGAAAAATGTTGATCAGTGTTTCCCAAAGCCCAAGGTGACGTCCTCAAATATCGTCTTCAGTCCACAACCCAAATATGTTCGGTTTACTGTCAGAGAAGTAAAGAAACCAGAAAATATTCACATTTGAGAAGCTGAAATCAGAGAATTTGAAAGTTGTATTTTTTTTCTTTAAATAAATAAATTGATTATCAAAACAGTTGCCGATTAATTTAATAGTTGACGACTAATCGTCTAATTGTTGCAACTCTACTGGTGAGTATATAGTATGTCGATGCTTCCTTTGAGTTTTGCCTCAGTAGGACTTCGACCTGTTTCTGCCAGCGTTCGCTCCTCCTCTTATACGCTTACTTTAAAACCCATGCAACTGACAAATTCAAGAATGAGTTTTTGTCAGGAGCTGTGGACCTCCAGCACATTCGCACGGAAAAGCTCACCTTTGCCAAATGTAAACATGTGAATTTGCACAGTTTGTCAAGAGAAACAATGTTGTGTTGTCGTGCCCTAGGAGATGGAGAGAAAATCGATTCTAGTGGTGTCATGTGACCCCAGTTTTTGCATTATCTGACCACACACTGCTACTTCACTCTCGTAATCCATTTAAAGTCTGTGATGAAGCCTCAGACATGCAAATGGAAGAGTGGATTTGCTGGGTAACCTGCCACTTGTTATTTCTCAAAAAAGGTAAATACATTTTTTTTCTTTCTCCTGTGTTAGCATGAGTCAGTTAATGCAGCACCACGGCTGCAGATCTCACATGAGGGACCGGAACAAGCTGACAGGGCTGGAGGAGAGGTTTGACTTGGTTGTTGACTCGAACGACGTCATCCTCGAGAGAGTGGTATTGACCTATAGCATTGTTGTTCTACAGATTTCTTCATAAAAAGAGTCTTTGCAAACCAACCGAGCTCTTGTGTCCGATTTCCAGGGGATTCTTCTTGATGAAGCTGACGGGGTGAACCGGAGCCAGCAGCCTGTCATGCCTGCAGGGTTTCAGCCTCCCAAGATTGTCGTTTCCAGCTGGAATCGCAAGGTTGGCTAATTAACCTCTCAGCTCTTAAACTGCAGATGCCAGTTTTTTGGGCTGTGTTCAAGCTTAAACATTATGTGCCAGTCCTGGCATTGAAGTACTTAAAACGCTAGAAAGTTGTTTGGATTCTTTTTGGAACACTTAAAATAAGAAAAATTTATTTTGGAAAACAATACTTTTGTTGGTCAGGGTTCAGGCTCTGGCAGTCGTTCTGAGATGTTCCGACTGCTCCACGCCAAGAATGTTGCGCGGCCGCAGCTGAAATTCAAGGAAAAGGTCGACAACAGCAACACACCATTTATCCCCAAGATCTTCATCAAGCCCAATGCCATAAAGCCTCTTCCTTCTTGTAAGACATACTTCTCACTCTCATGTTCTTCCCATCTGTTGTTTTCATAAGAGTCATTTAACCGTGACTCCTTAACATGTGCAACCTATTTGCTCTCTTGCTCTCCAATCATAGATTTCACCAACAAACAGATCCGTAAGGAAAGACCTGAGGACCTTGATGTACCAGCTGCCTTGGCTGATTTCATTCACCAGCAGAGAACGCAGGAACATGTAGAAGACATGTAAGACTTGCGTAGTATCAATTATTAGTATCCTATTTCTCGTTGTCCATCTTAACATATGATTTTGATCCATGTAGGTTTGCACACCCATACCAATATGAATTGGATCACCTTACAATACCAGAAATGCTTCTGTCTAAGCCAGAACCACAGGCAAGTTACTGTGATGCTACAATATGAGCTCCTCATTGTTGGTTAGGCCCCTACTAAATCAGTTGTTTGTGGATTATTTTTAGATGTACAAACCAATGGCAGAGACCAACCTGTCCTTCATTGATGCACTAGAGGATCTGGTAGCTCTGAATGAGAAGCTGTGCAAATTGTCTGAATTTGCAGTGGACCTTGAGGTACGGGATTTTTAAACAAAATCTTGGAGTGGGCACAATATCCTATATGACCTATATAATGTGAGCCAGTACAACCTTTAGGTTGTTGTGTAGAAGCAGAAGTTATGTTAACCCTCTGTCCTCCGTCGCAGCACCATTCCTACAGGAGTTTCCTCGGACTCACCTGTCTGATGCAGATCTCCACCAGAGAAGAGGACTTCATTATCGACACCTTAGAGCTACGCAACGAGATGTACGTCCTGAATGAGGCGTTCACTGACCCGTCTATTGTCAAGGTAAAGGAACGGCACCGCGAATCATTTGTTCTGGTGTCCTCTTCTTTGACTTAAACCTGCAGTGTGGAACATTGGTCCCCCCCCCCCCCACCCCCCAGCAGTGATGGTATTATTCTTCACGGTTGGCTATCAAGAAACGGAAAAAAACTTAACTTATTTCTTTCTTCTTTTTTTTTTTTGTATATTTCCTCCTCACTCTGATTGTGTGTGGATGACCTAATTAGGATATGGAGTGATCTGACACAATTTTCCATTATTTTTCCATAATGTTTCAAACAATAAAAAAACAAGATAATAGATCACATTGCTTGTCCATGTCAACAAAAAAATAATATCAATCAAATACTATGGCTTCATCAGGTGGCATATTAACCAGGGTATCGAATGAAGTACTCTATTGGAATTGTTATCACTTTAAGGGTACTGGTTTTGGTATCGTACATTTTTAAACGATACCCAGCCCTACTGTCCAAGAGCATTAACATGACATCCATGTCTGCCCCCAGTCCCTTCTGTTCTCTTCTCTTCAGCCACACCAATGGTTGTCTTTGTCCTACCTTTTTTTTTTTATGTAATCCTTCCTCTGAACGGCAAGTTTCTATTTTTTTTTTATTTTTTTTTTCGTCTGGAGGATCAGAAACTTTTATTGGATGCTTCTTAGGTTTTTCCTCTCTGCCGTACTGCTAGTTGCTTTAAGCCTACTCCGTCGCTAATGCTCCAGAGCCATGTAGAGAGAGAGTTGATTCATCTCAGTTTAAATTAAATTGACTTTATTGGCATCGCTGCATACACTATGATGTTGCCAAAGCACAAAAACGCAAACTATACAATCATAACAAACAAAATAAACAATTCTCACTAATAAACGTCCCCTCCCCAGTCATTGCTGGCTGACATAAAACGCACCATTAACTGTTCGCCAGAGTGGGAAAGTTGCCACTTACACTTATTTAAAAACTCGAATGTACTGCGAATACAGACATTTACCTGGCATTTAATCAGCATTTTGTGAACTCGATTGGCAAGGGCTTAAATGTAACAGATGTTGTTTTATATGTAAAGGTTCCACATGCTAAAGGAAAGATGAGATTGCAAAGTCTTAAATTAGATTTGTTTTCAGAAAGGGCCACTGAGTGGTCTGTGTGGCTGTCTCCACCATTCCTATGTGCCCTCTGTTATGAGTGAACAATTCATTCAGCAGCTTTATCATTAAAATTTGAGAGCAAGGCAACTCTATTAGACACAGCTTTACCACAGATTGTAAATACGCACATTGTGTTAACTAAACCACTTCACTGAAAATGAAGATGGTAAAGTTACAATCTGTCTGTAAAAAATCTCAGTATATCTCGCTGAGCTACCTGCTGGTTCAACTTTGAACAATTGGACACACATAGTAGTTATGTGCTCAAAGAGCTTTACAATGCAGTGGGCACTTATGGCAGATATTTCTGGTGCTTTCCCTTTAGGTTTTACTTCCAATTAAGTGGTTTAGATAATTAAACTGGGGGGTGTTTAAAGGAAACCTGTCTAGTTGTCTGACCACTTGTTCCGCTTGCAGTATTGGTTTGCGTCATAAAGCTGTGTTTAGCTGTGTCATCGCATTCCTAAATCTCAGCAATTAAAATGTCCCCAAGGGAATATTTTTTTTTAAGCGCATGAAATTGATGCTGGCTCAGACTGTCTTATGAACTGGTTGCATCTGAACAGTCGAATTATCTTCTATTGAAATTGGGTAGGAACCTGGAGAAGAAAAATCTCCACCACTATAGTGCTGATAAGTTTGTGAAGATTTAATCTTGAAACTTCTGAGCCAGGATTTCTTTAAGATGCCTCGGAGCCCCACAGTTTTGTTATGTTTTAATAAAGTTGGCGTGTGTCCTGTGGTGTGTGGGAACCACGATGACTCACTCACTAGGATACCTGTGAGTAAGTGTGGTGCGTGGGCATGAACTACTAAGAGATCTGTGGAAATAATCCAAATGATATAAATGTCACACGGTGTGACCCCCAGGCTTTAATATTTTTGGTTCAAATATTTTCTGTATCTAAGCAATAAAAAAAAAAAAAAGAAAAAAAGTTGGTACCACACCAAGGAGCTTTCGACTGAATGTGTTTTTTTCCTGTTCTCAGGTATTTCACGGCTCCGACTCTGACATCGAGTGGCTCCAGAGGGACTTCGGCTTGTATGTCGTCAACCTTTTTGACACACACCAGGCCAGCCGAGCTCTGAACCTGGCCAGACATTCCCTCGACCACCTGCTCAAACACTTCTGCAACGTGGACTCGGACAAACGCTACCAGCTGGCTGACTGGAGGATTCGGTACGGACTCATGACTGAGCCATTGAATGCTTAATTTTGCAGTTTTTGTTTAGGTTCAAATGTGGGATGGTGTTCCTTTTTTTTTAAAAAAAAAAACCCATCATGTAGTTCAGACTGTTTGTGATATTACTCCTAAAAAAACAAACAAAAAAAAAACTTGGAAAATATATTGACTTTTGGCAGTTGAAGTATAAAATGTCCCATAACTTGGCCCCGTAGCCCCTTGCCTGATGAGATGGTGCAGTATGCCCGCACAGACACCCACTACCTCCTTTACATCTACGACTGTGTGAGGGTGCAGCTGTTGGACTTTAACCACGGGCAGCCTGGCCTGCTGCAGAATGTCTGGAACAAGAGCAAAGACATTTCCCTGAAGGTGAGCACAACACTCACTTCATACATCATAAAGATTAAATTGACACTTAAAAATCAACCTCTATTCTATTATTCCACTCTTCTGTCTCCAATAGCTGCTCAGTTTCATATTTAAAAATTTCCACACCATTATCTCCTGCATTTTCTGACATTTGTCACGATTCAACTTCCACCATCCTCCTTCCATACAGAAATATGTGAAGCCCATATACACAGAGGAGTCCTATTTGGAGCTGCAGAGGAAGCAGAAAAGGTCTTTTAACACCCAGCAGCTCACTGCCTTCAGACTGCTGTTTGCCTGGAGGGACAAGCTGGCCAGGCAGGAAGATGAAAGCACCGGGTAGGCTGTTCGGAAACGGATGGACTTGCTGTTGTGGAAATCTGCTAGAGCTGATTTCCTATTTATAGTTCGTGCCCAGCCAGATTTTGCAACCCACATGTTTTTGTGACAATTTCCCTGCTTGTAGAATCATTGGTAGTCTTTTGACATCTGTCTTGACATGTTTTAATATAGTGTTGTTTGTGTGTTTAAGATATGTCCTGCCTACGCATATGATGATCAAGATATCTGAGGAGCTGCCAAAGTAAGTTGATTAGCTCTCCCTCTTAAATTTGGATTAATGTTTAGTGTTGTTCTCACTTCAGTGCAGGTGGATTTTGTGCTTTTGTATTCATAACCCCCGGCACAGTATTTTGTCATTTATCTTCTCAGAGAGCCCCAGGGCATCATTGCCTGCTGTAACCCTGTACCCCCGCTTGTGAGGCAGCAGGTCAATGAGCTCCATTTGTTAGTGCAGCAAGCGAGAGAAATGCCTCTCCTTAAGGTGAGGAAACATAAGCGGCAGCAGATATAATGTTGTTTGTCAGTGGTGTAATTTCAGTCTTGGCGCTGTCAAGTCAACGGAGGTGCCTTAATCAGTCAAACATTGCAATGTTTTCTGCACAGGCTGAGATTGCAGCACAAAAGAAGAAGGGACTCACACCCATAAAAAAGGTTGGTTAAAAACATTAAGCAACATCGAAGATTTAGTGTTCGCATTCGGAAGTTGTTGAAGAAACCATAAATGGGGTCAAATAAATGTGATCTTGTATAATTTTGCAGCTGGAGGTCACCTTGTTTGGTCCACATGATACATCCAGGGTGTCTGAGAGCGATCTCCCGCCCATTTCTCCTGACGGTGAGCTTGATGCTCGTACATGTTGCGCATTATCCTGGTGATTTTAAATATTTTAGGCCTTGAACAAATGTGTTTCTTTTTTTCCAGAGCTGCCTGTTAAACAAGGGATCCTCTTCTCAGATGAGGATCACAAAATGGACGTTGATGTACAGAAAGCAAGTGCTATCACGGCATCAGCTAAAATCACACTGTTTGAGGTAGCGATCAACTCTTAGTTTACTTTATTCAGCCAGTCGCTTGGTATGTGAACTGTGATGCCTAATGTGAGAACTCTGATTCCTTTTGAAGGAGACAGAAACACAGACTGACCAAGAGTCCCTCAATGTGGCTCAAATGAAAGCCAGGCGTATCATTGAGTCTTTTGAAAACCCTTTCAGAATGGTAAGAGATGACCAGTTATTAACCCTCAGCATTTTATTCAGCTGGACACACAATATTCAACCATCCTTGTGATTTCAGTATTTACCCTCCAGCGATGTGCACGTTAACAAGAATGCCAAGTTTGACCCATCTTCAAAAATATTTGAGGTAATCCAAGAGCTCCATACATTCATGTATATTCAGACTTATTTGTGTTCTCCTCTTAACTATGTTTGAATGTTCACCAATTGACAGATTAGTAAAAGATGGAAACTGCAGAGTATTGAGCAGCAACAGAAGGAGCTGGAGGCCAAGAGGAAAGCAAAGGAAGAAGCAAAGGAACACAAAAAGAAAGTGGCAGGTAATGTGGGTACTAACGTGCTGTAAAGTCACGCTGTTTACAGTAATGTTCGTTATTGTATTTTAATGTTGATTTCTGCAGAGGAAAGAAACAAGGTGAAACAGAGCTACCAGGAGTCTCTCCAGAACGTTGCCACTGTCCGCCAGCAAGCAGCGGTGAGTCATTTGCACTCTTCAGTTTCCTCTGTGCACTCTGTCAACTTCACTGTTGATGTCCCTGTTGGGCAAAGTACAAATCCATGGGAAATTTTTGTTATATTCACCCAAGAGCCTGCCACGGGATATTAAATATAGTGCTTTATTAGCCACTTTAACCCTCTGCAATGCCCCCCATTTTCTTAAGACATGGCTTGTATTTCTGCACATAAATATGGTGACTCACAAGCGAGGGAGCCACCGCTGCCACTCTGCAGCATCGGCATGTCAGCGGCATTTTAATATTTATATCTGTCACATGATGTGCCTGGGGACGAAGAACACACAGCATGGGATAGGAGCATTAGAGACACTCATCAAACGCTTTTCTGTCCTCCTAGGGAGCATCAATAGCTACTGTCTGCCCAAAAGCCCACTTCCTGCTTGTCCGGTCTCTCTGGGGTATTGCTCGGCACCATCCCACTTGGTTACTTATACACGTTCTTGGCACCACATGGTGTTTTCCTCTCTGCTTTAAATGCTCAGTTAGACACAAGTCTGTGTATTCGTCCTCTGTCCACGCAAGAGAACAAGAACGGTCACCACTGTTTGACTCTCGCTTCTGTCCCTGTTGGTGGCAACACTTCCACTCTGCCTTTCACTGTGTGAGCCTTCAGCCGTCAGTCGCTAGTGCACACAGAAATCCGTTGTATGATGATGGTTTAAGTGAAAAGTTGGTTTTAGGTGCTCCCTGCTGAAAAGGCGCCTTCAAATAAGTATGTTGGCACCGCCTGACGGCACGCATTATCGTCGGAGGTGTTGGCAGCAGCACTTGAAAGTAACACTAGTAAACCTGCCAACTGCAGGCAAATATTGGCGGTGCTGGCTAGCTGCCAGCTTCAGCCAACACTCTGGCAGTGAAGTTTTCTTGTCTGATTTGAGTTTGAAAGAAAGCTTTGTGGTTTTTCAAGCTTCTACTGGACTGATATTAGGATCAGTATCATGACGCATGTGTGCTGTGACTGGGCTCCAACATCACTGGTGTTCTCTTTTCTCTGTATCCTGTTAACCAACAGTTGCATCAAAACTGTCATTATGTTAAATTAAGTAAGTTTGAGTGCTTTTACACAAGCTGTTCGGATCGCGTAAAATAAACCCTGGGGCATTAGCCCGGTTAGTGCAGTTTGTTTGGGCTGATGTAAAAGCTATCAATCGAATTCTGATGCGGACAAAAAAAAACAAACACCCTTAGACCCTTTGAAAAGAGTGTTCCCCTTCGAGGGAACTCGAACTGCGTCGGTTACGACGCTATGGGAATGCCTATAGGCGTAGCAGGTCTGAACGTGAATGAAATCACTCCATTCCTATTGGTTTGTTGCTAGAACGGTAAGGTGTGATGGAATAACCGGAGGAGTATAAAGCACACCTGTACACACTCATCATTAGCTTTTTTCTATTCAGCAGGCGCTCTGTATGTTGTTTGAAGAAAGCTCCAGTCCTACAAGCAGTGTTTCTTACCTGAAGAAGTAGTCTACCAGCATGTCCGGCAATCAGAAGTACAGAAGGTGTGTTTTTTCTTGCCCTCGGTACATCACAGATGGAGATTCTCATGAGATGTGTGTCTCATGTTTGGGGATGGAGCACGCCCGTGCAGCTCTCGAGGGGGCTGCCTGCAGCCATTGCGAAGCCCTTTCCATGCGGGTACTGAGGTCCCGCATGGCTCTCTTTTCTGAGGATGGCCAGATGCTAAGGTGGCCCGGCGGCTTCACTCATGGGGTTCACAGTGTGATCTGTCGGAGGATTTCGGGACGGCTGGGGCTTTTTCCCGACCTTCATCCGCTGGCTCCAACGCTTCCTTTCCTCGTTCGGGAGCCCGTTTCTCAGATTCTCCCGCTCGTGGTTTGGATCCGGAAAACGCTGCAGCAATCCGACTCCGAGGAGGTGGACGTGCTCAGCATAGTGGACGATGACTTCCGGGTGTCGGGGCGGCGTCATCAGGTGGCGCCCGACTACGACGAGCTGCTGGAGGTGGTGACTAGAGCCGTGGCTAAGCTCAACATCAACTGGCCACAGGAGGAGCAGACACAACAGGCTAGTGGTAAGCTTGATGAAAGGTTTCTTAAGCACCACGCGCCACCTCCACGCCGGTCTCCGCCATTCTTTCCTGATTTACATGATGAACTGAGTAAATCATGGGGCAGACCCTTCTCTACACGGCTTTCCACACCCCAATCACTGAACTACAGTAATGTGATGGGGGTTAGGGACCGAGGTTATGGGAGGATGCCTCAGGTGGAGGATGCGCTTGCGAGCTATCTCTCCCCTCGACTTGCGTCCTCCCTGGAGAAGTCGGCGTTACCCTCCAAGCCATGTCGCACCACATCTACGCTCGTGGGGAAGGCGTACATGGCAGCGGGCCAGGCAGGTGCGAGCTTGCACACCATGCCGGTGCTTCAAGCCTACCAAGCCGACCTGCTACAGGAGATGGTTCAGAGCGGGGGGGTCCCTCTGAGGAAGATCTGGCGGAGCTTCGCAGAACCACAGACCTGTCTCTCCGGGCCACCAAAGAAACAGCCCGCTCCATGTCGGTTCTGGTGGCCACAGAGTGTCCCCTATGGCTCAACCTCGCGGGCATATCTGAGAAAGGATAAGAGCTTCCTCCTCGGTGCACCGGTGAGCACGGCGGGCCTCTTCGGTGACGCGGTGGACTCGGTGGTGGATCGGTTTCAGCACGTTAAGACGCAGGGCGAAGCGTTCCGCCAGTACCTCCCTCGCCGGTCTGGACCCAAGGCAGCTGAGGCTGCCAGGCGTAGGTCCCTTCCCTCTACGAGCTCCTACCGAGGGGAGAGGAAGCAGAGTGTCGCTTCTCTGCTGGTCTTTCCCCTTCCACCCTCAAGGTGTACGTGGCAGCTATTTCATCTTTCCACGCCCCTCTGAGGGAGGGGTCTTTGTGGAAACTTCCCTTGGTTGTACGTTTCCTCCGTGGTGCCCGGAGGATGAGACCTGCGACTCGGTCCAAGATTCCCACTTGGGATCTGGCGGTGGTTCTTGGGGTGTTGGCTGAGGCCCCCTTCGAACCCCTGGAGTCAGCTGAGGCTAAGCACTTGAACCTCAAGATGGCCTTTCTCCTTGCTATCACCTCTCTGAGGAGGGTGGGGGATCTCCAAGCGCTTTCGGTTTCCCCGCAAAGCCTGGAGTTTGCCCCGGGGAATATTAGGGCTATCCTGCACCCTCGTCCAGGATATATCCCTAAAGTGCCTTCTTGTGCGGCAGGGTCCACAGTGCTGCAGGCATTTCATCCTCCACCTCATGTGACGGCGGAGGACGGGAGATTTCATCTGCTCTGCCCTGTCAGAGCACTGAGTATTTACACTCTGAGGTCCTCCCGTTGGAGGAAGGCTGACCAGCTGCTAGTGTGTTTTGGGTCCCCCAGGGCTGGGCTCCCTGCATCCAAACATACTATTAGCAACTGGATTGTTCAGACTATTTCCCTGGCCTATCAGGTAGGTGCGCGGTTTGCCTTCACCTGTGGCTGTGAGGGCTCATTCTACCAGAGACATGGCGGCCTCTCGAGCCCTCCTTTCCGGGGCCTCTTTGCAGGATGTTTGTGTAGCGGCTGGCTGGGCCACTCCGCACACATTCATTCGGTTTTACAGTCTTGACCTTCCTTCGGCACCTGGCACTCGTGCACTCTCCTCTTAGTCGTGCCACTTTATTGCACACTGGGGCAGGCGGGGTTTTCGGCACGGTTTAGTGGGTATTTCGTTCCCATAGTGTCGTAACCGACGCCGTTCGAGTTCCCTCAAAGGGGAACGTCTCAGGTTACGTATGTAACCCTGGTTCCCCGAGAAGGGGAACGAGACACTGCGTCGGCCCGCCGCACCTCTCTCCCCGCCTGAAGCGCCTGCTTCATAGTTTAAGCTAATGATGAGTGTGTACAGGTGTGCTTTATACTCCTCCGGTTATTCCGTCACACCTTACCGTTCTAGCAACAAACCAATAGGATTGGAGTGATTTCATTCACGGTCAGACCTGCTACGCCTAGAGGCGTTCCCATAGTGTCGTAACCGACGTAGTGTCTCGTTCCCCTTCTCGGGGAACCAGGGTTACATACGTAACCCGAGACGTTCTCCAAGGGACTCTGGTGCGGTTCGCTTGTGACATGAAAGCAAATAAACCAACTGCAGGGATTGTGTGATAGCAGATTTGAAATAATGCTAAAATTACATAAGCTTACCTACTAAATCCATCTCCTGATTGAGAAATCTCTTGAGGAAGTGATCTATAAAAGCTGTGTATACATTTATGCAAATAATTTGGACTTCAGCGTGGGTGTTTTTCCCTGATTTAATAGGTCAAAAGCTGTTAAAAATGCTGTGCATAATTAATTAATAAGTCCATTAAAAGGTGTGTGACAGTACAAGATGCCTCCTTTTTGTCTTGTCTCTGCATCATTATTCATAACTTGTTTGATTTGCCATGTAACAATACTAATACTGCTTAAATTCTATAATCAGTCATTTCTTCAGGAGCTCTTTGTGACACCAGAGTATGTAAATCTACCCATCAAGGGCTGCATAAACATCTGTCAGTCACAGGAATTTGATTTCTCCATGTGGGTCCTATGTCTTATTTAAATGCTACTAGTACTTATTTATTAGTTCCTAGTAACTATTCCATTATCTACTAGTAACAACTCCCCTTTTGTTAGTAATAATTGATTAGATACTAGTACTTAATTTTTAGTTACTGGTAACTAATCCATTAGATACTTCTAACATTTGAATTCTTACAAATACATTTTCTTTGGTTACTAGTTTCATTAATGACTTGTAAAATGGCTTGTTGATATTAAGATTTTAATTGTTACTAGTAAGTAATAAATGAGTACTAGTAGCTTTAAATAGCGACTAGTAAGTTTTAAAGAATGAATGTTAAAACCTCTTGCCATAGGGCTATGTAGCAAATCAGATCTGGATTCTCTTGTGATATCATGATTCTCACTTAATCTCACAAATCTATTTTCCTCACAAGGTAATGTGATTTGGGCAGCATGTCTGCTTACCACGTTCTCACGTGACGTAAGAACAACAGTTGGTGGCAGTACTGCACCTCTGAGCTGGTTTGCCAACCACAGCAGGAGAATAGTGACAAGAAAACAGGGATATTATCAAATGTTAAATTACGTTATGGTTATTTTAAACCATATCTTAATTTAATCTAGTCATAATATATACCATTACTGTGATATAAAATTAAAAGAATTAAAAGAGTGTTCTTCTACAGGTTTGGTCTACTGGATTCAGTCAACAGAGAAGTAACAACTTAATGCTGCAGAGCCTAAAGCAAAGTGAAACTTCCAACCTGTAGATGGCAGCAAAATATGAATTTGTTTCATCAGTAATAAGTCTATATAATGTTGACTTGAGTGGGTCACCGCAATATAATTCTTTCAATCGGAGGCCTATACAGAATGAAATTGAGTGAGGTACAAAGAAATGCATCAAGTATGTGACAAAGCACAACAAAATAGGTTTTGCAAATGTCAGTTAATATCAGTCTCTTTATAGTTCCCTTTTTAATTCCTTATATGTTTTATTTTTATGCACGTTTATTCGCCCACCATAAATAATCGATTTGATTTCTAATTCAACATGAATACAACTTGTCCCATAGATTGGAACAGTGATCCAATTTGTTAGCTTTACCATTCAAGAACTAGTTCATTAAAATGTTTGTTCTAAATATTGTACAGAATATAATGTTTCTGACCAATTTCAGGAAGCTGCAAAAGGCGGCGGAAAGAAAAGAGAGAGGGCCGCCAGTGAGGTTGGAGAGTCGACTCCCAAACCGAGTAAGAAGCTGATGAAATCTGCAGAGACGCCCCAGAAGACAGAACCGCCTCCTCAAGAGACCTTCAAGCCGTTTGACTACACTCAGACAGACCTCAAAGTCTTTGCTGGTATGCATATGAGATTTATCCGCCATCGCATTACACAAATCACTACTTACTTTTACATTCAGTTACAGTTTTACATTATAAAGATTCAGTTAAATCAGTGCACACCCTTTGTTTTTACAGGTACCAAACCAAAGGACAACACACAGTTTGATCCAAACCGGCAGGCCCATGATTTTAAGAAAAAGGTATTTATTTATTTAATTGTGTTTGTTGAACAATATATATTTGATAATTGCTTGAGTAATTAGAACATTTTTTCCAACAGAAAACTCCCAAGGGACAAAAATCTAATTTTGGAGCTGGAAACCGAAGTATGTCGTACATGTCTGGAAAATCCGATAGGTAAACATATGCAGTATACAGTAGAAGAGGTTTATTGTTTCGCTGCTTCAGATTCAAACATCCCAGTATTTTAACCATTCTGTCTTTTTTTTTTTTTTTTTATTCTCCGCAGAGGATTCCGGCATAACTGGCCCAAAAGATAAACTCTCTTTAATGGCGTTTTCTTTATTATTTTAACACTTTTTTTTTTCATCCTGCAGAAACAATGTTACCAATTTTTTCATCCATACAAGTGAAATTCAGTATTTCAATATTTAATGAATTTCAATGTGTATTTTTTTCCATCTGTGGTACAGTTTACCCTGTAAATATGTGGAAGCACAGACCTCTTTATTAAAGGTGATTTTAGAGGAAAATGTCATGCTGATTTTTATTTTTTTATTTTTTTTAATCACCAAAAGTTTCATTTTGTTGGAGCAGTGTCATAATCAGACCCTTCTTCAGAATTCTGGCCACTGATGTGTGTGAATGTGTTAAAAGAATATATTTTTATCTTTGCCTCCAAAACTGAAGTAATTGGCAATGAATTACTGTTTTGAAAGATGTGTGAACTATGATGGATTAGTAAGTGAAAATGTCTTTCCAAAGTGAATTATCAATTGTTGACACCTACATGAAGAGTGTGACAGAACAAGACCCAGTCTATGATACTGTGTTCTGACCTGGCTCAAAAGGTCACAACAGGGAGACACACCATGGTAGAAGTTTAACAAAATATGTTTATTTAAACCAATATAAACATAATTAAGGCTGGTGCCAAAGTAAAGGTGAACAAGTATGGGGTATGAACATCAGTGGTTTCAGTCAGGTCAGGATAATGGATGCATGGAAAATGTGTGTGAGGGTGTTGTAAAGTGCAAGCATGTCCAGAAACCAAGGCAAAGGTGGAACCTGTGGAGGGAAACAGATGGTGGCAAGTTAGCAGAGAGGTCCATCTGTCCTCAGCCCCTAAGAATGAGAATAAAGCGTTAAATACTCTACAGGGCAATTAGCCCAGGTGCCCAGAGTTACTGCAATCAGCTCTTCCATTCAAGGAAGAGAGAGAGATAGGCCACACCCACACATGACCCCACAGGGCGTTACACCAGATATGTGGGTAGGACATCACACCCATATGTGACTGATGAATATCACATTCTAAAAGCATGGCTATTAATATGCTGCTATACAGTGGTGCAAAGTAAGTATTATTGTATGTTATGTGAGTATTGTTATTTTTGTATTTTATATATACACTGACCAGCCTTAACATTATGATGATTGACAAGTGAAGTGAATAACACTGATTATCTCGTGACCATGGCATCTGTCAGTGGGTGGGATATACACTACTCAAAAACAATAAGGCAACACTTAAATCACACGTCAGATCTCGATGTATGAAATAGTTTAACATATTTTATTGTACACTGTGAAAAAGCTGAATTGGGTTCATCACTATTAAGTCAATATAATGTTGATTTGAGTAGGTCACTGCAATATAATTCTTTCAATCGTGGGCTTATACGGCATGAAAGGTACAAAGAAAACATGTATGTAGCAAAGCAAAACAACATAGGTTTTGCAAATGCCAGTTAATCTCTATAGTTTCTTTTGATTCCTTAGATTCCCTTGATGTGTTTTATTTTATGCAATTTAATTGCACTCCATAAATAAATAATGTGATTACTAGTTCAGCATGAATACAACTGGTCCCATAGCTTGGAACAGTCATCCAACATTGTTAGTGTTACTCTAACCTGTTATCTTGTTAGTTTTAACAAAATGAGTCCATTTAAGAATACATTCATTTTATTCTAATATTTAGTTTATTCTAAATATTGAACAGAATACAATGTTTCTGACCAATTTCATTAGGAAGCTGCAAAAGGTGGCAGAAAGAAAAGACAGAGGGTCGTCATTGAGGTTGCAGAGTCAACTCCCAAACCGAGTAAGAAGCTGATGAATCTGCAGGGAATTTTATTCAATTTCATTCAATTTTACATTGTAAAATTATGTAACAACGGTCAGTGGAAACCAAAATCACCAACCAATTAAGGGCTGGATTCAAATCACACTGAAAATCAAAAGCTGATCCAACTTGCGTGACTTTCATCACGGCAACTCATAATGGGACTCAGTAGTGTGTACGGCCCCCACGTGCCTGTTTGCACTCCTGCCAATGTTTGGGCATGCCCCTGATAAAACAGTGGATGGTGTCCTGGGAGATCTCCTACCAGACCTGGATACAGTCATCAGTGTACTTCTCGACAGTCTGTGGCACTACTTTGCGGTGTCTGCTGCACCGATACATAACATCCCAGTGGTTGTCAATATGATTCAGGTCTGGGGAACGTGTAGGCCAGTCAATGGCATCACTGCTTTCGTCATACAGGAACTGCCTACACACTCTGGCCATATGAGGCCAGACATTGTCCTCCACCAGAAGGAACCCAGGGCCCACTGCACCAGTGTATGGTCTGACAAAGGCTCTGAGGATTTCATTCCTGTACCTACCAGCAGGTAGCACTTGGAGGTCTGTGCGGCCCTCTAAGGAGATGCCTCCTCAGACCATCACTGACCCATCGCCTCTCATCTGTGAAGAGAACAGGGCACCAATGGCAGACCTGCCAGACCTGTTCTCTGGCAAATGCCAATCGAGCTGCACAGTGCTGGGCAGTGACCACAGATCCTACTAGAGGATGTCCAGCTGTCATACCACCCTCATGGAGTCTGTTTCTGAGACCAGGACACCAGTTTCTCCTCACACAAAGGAGCAGATACCTGTCCTGCTGCTGTGTTGATGCCCTTCACGGCCCTGTCCAGCTCTCCTTGTGTAATGGCACGTCTCCTGGTATCTCCTCCATGCTCTTGAGACTGTGCTGGTAGACACAGAAAACCTTCTTGCGATGGCGCGAATGGATGTGTCATCCTGGAGGAGCTTGACTACATATGCAACTAGAATGAGCTGCAGGTAACGCCTCATGCTACCATTAGTGACAAGGACTCCAGCAAAATGCAAAACCAGGGAACAATCAGTCAGGAAGGATAAGGAGAGAGCAACTGTCTGTGGCCAAAAGTCAAGTGGTGTCATAATCTTATGTACACCTGCCTAATAAATTAAAAGATTTGACTACTTCTTCCTCAGCTGCTGCTACAACAGCCTCCACTCCTTGTCAGACACTGATGTTGGGCACTAAGGCCTGGTTCGCAGTCAGTGTTCCAGTTCATCCCAAAGGTGTTGGATGGAGTTGAGGTCAGGGCTCTGTGCAGACCAGTCAACTTTTTAACACAGTTCATATTTGGGGGGGGCGACATGACACTGAGGCTTTTATTTCAAACACCATGCATGCAGCTTATTTGATGCCTAAGTATTATTAAATAGTAGGATTTTAAAAGTTTATGTTTATTTTAAGCCTTTCAAAATACACGTTCTAGCCCATGTCTTTTGTAGGGGACAGTGGAACTTGCAGTGAGGCAGAACAGATTAAGTAAATATTGATGGAGAGTCAGACATTGAAATGTGAGTAGATGAGGAGGAATCCAGGCAGAAATGCAAAAGAAAATAAAGTTGTTAACACTGAAAGGGTAACTTTGGTATTTTTCAACCTGGGCCCCCATTTTTCCTATTGTTTTACCATAAATTGCCTTATTGCTCCATTCACTTAACCACCAGACTCTATTGATAAAAAAAAAAAGTAATTTTACCTCTACCACTGCCTCAATCAGTTAGTTTGTGTTGTTGTGTGACTTTGGTGTTTTTATTTGTTTGTTTTGTTGTGTAAGTTTGGTGTTTTAAAGGGTTAGAAAACAAACAATTTCTGTGTTTGGCAAGGTAAAATTACAGTTTTTGTCAAGGGAGTTTGGTGGCTTTGATGAGAGCGATGTAGCAGCTGTTTCTAGTTTAACAAAAGGATGTTACTCTTAAGGTCAATCGCTTTAGGGTTTATTTACATAATGTACTAATCTGAGCCTGTCAGTGGCAAACACAAGCACTTTAGTGGAGGACGGGGCACAACTGCCCACAAGAGTGACTTTGCAGCACTGTTTCTCTGCTGCCCACTGCAGACCATTGAGTGCTTGCTCAATACTGAACCTTTTTTTTTAATGTCCCAATTAGACAAATAGAAACAAAAAATGAGAAAATAGGGTCCAGCTTGAAAAATACAGATGGGTACCCTTCACTACCTGTATTAATATACTGTGATGTTGTTAAAACTTGTATTTAAATCTGTAATAGGCCTATATAAAATTCTAAGTAACCTCTATATTTATATACCTTCGGATGTTAAACATCAAGTCTGCTGTAAAAACCTTACCTTGTGTCTTTGATAGTTGTTGATGTGTTTGGGAAATAAGGCAGTAATGCAGATGTTTTGTGCCATAGCCTACTGCAGCCACTTTTCTTAATTTTATACCTGTGGCTCTAGGAGTGATTAGTCTGACAGTTACCCATTGAGATCACATTTATTTACTGTTGCAGTCAACTGAAGCATGTCTGTGATCTTCGCTGAAATTCCTTGCCCTAAAAAGTTTGACCAGTTTGCTGAGTTTTTGCTTACCTTGCCCCCTGGATATAACGATCTCTGTTATGTAAGCATCAGGGCCAGCCTTGTGTCAACAGGCAAGCTAAGGCAAACTATAACAATAGGATCTTAACTATAAGAAAGCCCTTTTACGCAAGACCTTTATAAATGTATAGATATTTTTTAGAATATAACGCATGTTAACGGAATCTGTCCTCAGTGAAACACTATTCAGAATTAGTTAGAGTGGGCTTGTCATAAAGAGCACAGCTATAAATGACTACAGGATCTGCTATCACTTGAGCAAAAGAAAAAAACAAACAAACATCAAGGTCCATTTTGTAACCCTTCTGGAGTTTTCGATGATGTTACAGGATCTTCTTCAGCATTTGGGGTTTGCCAAGTTGTTTTGGAATTAAGCACTTGTAGGGAAACTTGTCCATGTTGGCTTGATTGAAGATTAATTCTTGACCAAAAAAAAATCTCATTACGAAGTCCATTGTGGAAATCATATCATCCCAGAGAACTAACAGCTGTATATGATTTTAGCTAATCTTTTTCAAATTTCTTTACAGAAACCGTCATCTTCAACAAGGTTGAACTCTTCACTGACATTCCTCTTTGCTTAACTCTGACAAATTAGACGAGTTCACTTACTTTGCCTCCTGGATATAACAATCTCTGTTATGTAAGCAGGGCCAGCCTTGTGTAAACAGACAAACAAAAGCAAACTTTCACAATAGGAACTAAACTATAAATTAGGCCCTTCAAGGCAGCTTTACAAAAGTATATATATCTTATTGAATATAACAGCCTAACCAGGATCTGTCCTCAGTGAGACACCACTCAAA